CTCATGGCTTTCGTAATGGTTACACAGCCAAGGAGGAAGGATTCTAGAAGACCTGACATTGCTGATTTTGCAAGCTTGTGGATCATGATGAAATTCATCCACCCTTTGGGGAACAGAACGTTAGACCCCCTTCTGCTTCGATAGCTCTTGGGTCCCTCTACTTTCTTGGTTCCAATTATTTCTGCACTCTCCAAAGCACTCCTTTATTATAACCCCTTCTGCTATGAAAAATTTGAACTAATTTCCTCAGAGACCAATGTATTGCTTGTTTGATTCAGTCACCCAGTCAATAAATATTAAGGCACTGTACTAGATATTGATGTGCATCAGCCATAGGATATTTGAGATCCCATTCCCTCACTGATCTTACAGTCTCGAGGAAGAATGACAATAAAAAACAAGATGATACAAGATCATACTGTATTCTTCATAAGCACTATGAAGAAAAGAAAACCAAATTACAGAGATGAAGTGGGGTGTTATTAGATAGTGATCGGAAAATACCACTATCAGGAGTTGGTTTTGAGTTGAAACATGGAAAATGGAAACCAGGTATACACAAGCTTCTAAGTGGGAAAGATCCTACAGTGTGCCAGGAACTGTCAGAAGGATAATGCAAAGGGAAGTGATACGATATTAGGTTCGATAGGTAAATAGCAGTTAAAATACAGGAGACACAGAAGAAGGCTTTAGATAAAAACTACAGGTTGGTTCGGACAAACTCAGTAAAAATCTGTTGTGTTAAACTCTATACAAACAGTTATAGAGCATACTAATCATATTGCTCTAAAAATAGTGTACCCACATATAACAGAAAGTAGAAATTATACCTTGTGACTTTTCCAGAAGTGAATTTTAGTTTCATTCACCCTCATTCAATAGTTCAAGAATGTTACCTTTGAAAATAAAAGTATTTGGGGTACCCCCCCTCAAAGTGGAATTTTTTTCAAAGCTATGAATTTAAATTTTTTAATGAAACAACCTTATCACCTTTGAAGTACTCTCCATTACACTTAATATATTTGTCAAATCTGTGATTCCATTCTTGGAAACATTTTCAAACTCATCTGTTTGGATGGCTGACAGCACCTCCCTCATTTTCTTCTTTACCTCGTCTAAGTTATCAAATTGCTGTCCATTCATGCCCCTCTTCATTCATGGAAACAAAAAGAAGTTACATGGAGCAAGGTCAGGTGAGTAAGGTATGTCAGGCAAGAGAGGCACACTGTTTTGGAACAATAATTGGTGCACTGAGATGGCTGCATGAGCAGGTGCCCTCTTGTGGTGGCAAAACCAGTCCCCTGTCTGCCACAAATCATGACTTTTTGTTGCATGCTGTTACGCAATCTTTTCAGAACCTCTTAATAGAAAGCTTGATTAGCAGTCTGGCCTGATGGAGCAAACTCCAAATGCACTACCAGTTAACATTTTCATCTGTTTGGGAAGTTGGTGGACATCCAGAACGAGGTTTGCCATCAATCAACAGTTCACCTTATTTGAAATGAGAAAACCACTCCTACACTTGAGTTTTTCCCATAGCGCTATCTTTGTAAGCTGTGTTCAGCATCACAACAGTTTCTGCAGCATTTTTCTCCAGAGCAAGAAACAACATTTCACTGTCGTATGCTGTTCTCTTAAATTGGCCATATCACACACATTCACAAAAACAAAAAACTAAGGTTCCAGTGAAACTATTTTTACAAAAAAATTCCCTGTGACCAGAGAGAACCTTCCCAGGCAGCGCCACTGAGTGCACTAACTCAGAATTAGTTGCTGGATGCTTGCCCAGCAGGAAAAATACGTACTACAAAAGCTCCGCCTACCAGAGCTTTTTTCCATTTCTTTATGGGGGCGGGGTGGTAGGGTGGTAACCATGGTCAAAAAATCATGGGTCAAGTTTGGTACTACTCCAGTAATTGGAAAATAAACAATTGAAATTGGTTTCAGTATGGATTACAAGTGAATGTCATAACAAAAATCCTCACAACTGGACCAATAGGTAGGATGGAGAAAAGATTAAAGTTGCCAAGGGTTTTGTCTTGCTTGAATTCATAATCAATGCTCATGGAAGCAAGAGTCAAGAGATCAAACAGTGCATCGTATTGTAGAAGGCTACTGCATAAGACATCTTTAAGTGTTGTTACTTTGAGGACTACAGCATGCCTGATCCAAGCCATGGTATTTTCAATCGCTTTATATGCATTTGGAAGTTGGACACTGAATAAGAAAAACCGAAGACTTGATGCATTTGAATTAGTGCACTGACGAATAATACTGAAAGTGCCATGGACTGCCAAAAGAACATCCAAACAAATCTGTATTGGAAGAAGTATAGCAGAATGCTCCTTAGAGTCAAGGATGGTGGGACTTCATGTCAAGTACTTTGGATGTGCTGTCAGAAGAAACAAGTCCCTGGAGAAGACATCGGCGAAAAAGTGGAAGACCTTCGACAAGACAGACTGACACAGTGGCTGCAACGGTGAGCTCAAGCATAAGAATAATTGTGAGGATGGTGCAGGAGTGGACAATGTTTAGTTCTGCTGGGCATACGGTTAGTCTGAGCCAGAGCCAACTGGAGGCCAACTGAGAGCAACATAAGCAAGGATTGAGGCACTGCAGCAACCATCAGAAGAAAATGACAGCTAGAATGGAAAATTAATTTGTTCTTCAAATAACAGTAAAAATCATGTTTAAAAAGATGATGAAAGAAACACACAGTCACGAATCAACACCAAAAAAGGGTTGACGATGTTAGCATATAATCAAGTCCTCACAGTTGCCAGTAGCCCTTGAAATTTAGACTGTAATTCCCTTGTGTGAGAAGAAATAAATGGTGGCTACCTCACAACTGTGGGAGCAGCATCGTTAGATGCTGTGTCAGGATCCCTGGCTTGGCTGGTGCCCAATGAAAAGTGGCCCAGACCACCATAAGTTTAGTATTTTAATCCCTTCCTTGATTTAATATGACATGTATTAATCAGACAGGCAAGCATCTTCCCTTGTAAAGGAATGTTACTGGAAATTTTCTCCTAGCACTGACCCCCATGGTCAATGTAAACAGCGCATAATCATTTCAGAATTCAATCTGTACAAAGCAACAATTCATGGATTGTGGTTTGAAGCTGAGCTATGCTTACCATATATACTCAAGTATAAGCCAACCCGAATATCAGCTGAGGCAACTAAATTTACCACAAAACTGCATTAAAAATGTGTTGAAAAACTCGGCTGATACATGAGTCTATAAGGTATATCACCTCCTTTTCCCAACAGTTTCTCCAGAACAGTTGTCAAGAATTTACTTTAACTTTTCGTATAAGCAATGCCCATGAGAGCAGCAGTGAAGAAATCAAACAGTATTGCATTGAGGGAATCTGTTGCATGTGATCTTTTTAAAGTGTTAATGAGCACAAATGTCCTTTTGAGGACTAGGGTGTATCTGGTCAAAGTCATGACATTTTAAATCACCTTATATTCTAGGCAACCAAATAAGGAAGAGTAATGAAGAATGGATGTATTTGTATTACTGTGTTGATGAGGAATATTAAATATACCAATGTACTACCAGAAAAAAAAATGAACAAGTCTGTCTTCAAAGAAATACAGACTCACTGCTCCTTGGAAGTGAGGATGACAAGGACATCAAAAGGAACCAGTCTTTGGCAAAGGACACCATGCTCTGTAAAGTAGAGGGTCAGGTCAAAAGAGGAAGCGTCTGACTAACATACATTGATGTAGGAAAGATTGTGAGGATGGTGTAGACGGGGCAGTCTTCCATTCTAGCGGTTACCCTGCGACTGGTAACCAACTTGACAGGATGTAACCATCACAAAATATATACATATAAATGCATATATACACAGTGAGAGAGAGATGATTTCTCTTATCTTTCAAAATGTTTTGGTCAAATGTCTTTTCTAAGAGTCCTACCCTGATCACTTCTACTTTAAAATGCAACAGCAACACCCCAGTCTGATTCCCCTTAGTCTTCAGTATTATTTTTCCCATGGCGCTTCTCACCTTATGACATACTTTAATCTCTTGCATTCATCACTGAAAATATATTTTGCCAATTATGCTCCCTAGTAGAATATCAGATACACAAGGGCAGGGGGCTTTATTTAACCTATAGATGCATTCTAAGCTCCTAAAACAGCCTGACACGCAAGAAACAATCTCAAATATTTGACAAATCAATGCCTTAAAAATACATGTCATTTGTCATCCACTCTGTGGATAAAGATGGGGCAGTCTGCTTCTATAAAGATTTTGAAATCTCAGAACCGTACCAAAGCAGTCCTATTCTGTCCCATAGAGTCACTAGGAGTCAGAGTCAATTTGATAGCAATGGGTTTGGTTTTGGTTTTTCAAATTCCTTGTCTACTTCAAACTATAGTTAAACCCAATGTAGACATAGTTAGCACAAACCTTATGACTCCTTATGAAATTTCCTCCATTATTCTTAGATTTAGAAACTCACTCAAATGCTACTGAATTTTTTCCTACTTCTACTCTTTTTCTCTGTAAAATGTAAAACTACTGGCCAAAGCAACACTCTCCAAGATGATGAACACTCCAGCATCTCTTCCTGTCTTCGCTTCGCTTTTGAGGAGCGGGCAGAACCATATGCGGATGTGGGTAGAGTGGACATTGCAAAAAATAAAAGCAGATTCTTTTTGAAGGGCTTTGTCCTTCAGAAGCCACTGCTATAATTTTCCTTTCACTCTGTCCTCTGAGCAATTTAGAAAATAGCTGTTAATGACAGAGAAAAATTAGGCTGAGATGGCACAGTGAGTTTTGCTATCTAGAAGAGAGAACTGCATTCAACACTGAGTCCTTCTCCTCCTGATCAGCGAGGACCACTCAGGCCCGCCTGCCTGCTTCACTCCCATGCTTTCTTGGGTAGGAGCTTCAGCTTTGTAAACACTTAGGAGGAAAATAAAAATATTACATTTCTTTTGGAAGAAAATTCGGGAAGCAAAATATAACAAAATACATACAGCTTCCAAACTTCAGTGGGCAGGCATGCACATCCATGGGGAAATCTTCCAAATGCATGGGGCACTCCGCATGGATTGTTAACCTAAAAGAGAAGGACAATTTAAGTTCAGATAAAGCAACTGGTATTCAACCCAGGGCTCCATTCCAGTTCACCAAAAACGGCGCACTCCTAAGAATAATAGGTCTTATTTGTTTAGATTTGTTGAGATTCCAGTATTTATGAGAACAAAGGGTAGATTAAATTGACTAGGTAGCCTGTCAAATCAGCACGTGATATACAGGTTTTTCTGAATTGTTTTATTATTTTTCCAGTTTATTAATTCATTTTCCTCTTAAACCATTTTATTAGGAGCTGATCTAGACATGACCCCATTCCATAGTTTGATCACATCAAGAATTGGTGTGCAATTGGTATCATAATCTATTTCAAAACCTTTTCTTCCTTCTTGAACTTCTTGATATCGGCTCCCCCTGAGCTCCCACCTCCCCCACGGCACCCATCCCCAGAAGCCCTTATTCCAGTTATTGTCTCTATAGGTATACAGATTTTCTAATCGGCTCTGAATTCCACCCTACCACCTTCAGAGAAACAAGAATAACTTTTCTGCCCTAAATGTGACTTGCTTAAGCAGCCCCCAAGAAGCCTGGAAACACCAGGGCACTGACTCACTCACTCCTGAACACAGTCTAGTTATCTCTGCATTTGGGTTAATAATCCTGATTCTTCTCAGCAGGCTATCATGTAAGTTAACCGATTTAAAGATTGCGCTGAAGAGGAGAGGCGTATAGAAGGAATATCTTTACCCTGATAATTAACAGGATCAAAAGATGGCTCGGTAGCTCTCAGCAACTGCAAGAGAGGGCTTTTGGAGAAAACACACACACACACACACACACACACAGCAGAAAATATAAAGGTAACGGTGGGCATCAGGGACCACTGAGGGCCAGTCTGAAGAGCTCATGCAATTTTTACATGTGGGAGAGAGTTGCATGGATTCCTCAGCGGGAAGCTGTATGGGGTATGATTTACCATGTCCACATACCCAAGTGGGAAGTCCTGGAAGCAGCATTCTTTCTATCCCCTGAGGTTCTTTCTCATCCTGTCTTTCTCCCTTCCAGTTCCCTCACTCTCAGGAATGGTTTTAAAGCCCTATAATATTCTAGGCCCCATGCCCACTTACAGTAGCAAAGCTAACAGGCTTGGTGCAGGACCACAGTGAATTTCTTTCTAGTGGAGGCAGATAAATAGTGCATGCACACCAACATTGTGATAAGCACTGTGAGGAAGTACGTACTGCAGTGAGAACTTGAAGGACCATACCTTGCAAAGAATAAGCCTCACTTCTCCTTTGCTCACTGTCTTAGGAATTGTAGTGGAAGTGTGGTTTCGGGGCCAAGGTGTGCACTTTGGAGTTAGGTAATCCTAGACTTGAATTCGGATCCTATCCCTTTCAGAGTGTGAGATTTTTTTGACACTCATATTTGTCTTTTCTATTCAATGCTAGATCCTCTTTATCTAGCACAATGTTGGGAACATAGTAGGGATTAAAAATTCCTATTGAATGAATATATGAAAGGCCTGAAAATTCCTAGCCAGTTCCGTACAGGATTTATAATAACCTCCTCACTTTAGAGATTGGAAAACAAAGGCCCAGAACATAGAAGGAACTTTCCTAGGATCAAAAATCTACTTGGAAGTAAAGCTGATATTTAAACTCAGTCTTGATTCCGAGTTCAGTGTATTTGCTGCTTCATGGAATAGGAAAGGGTGCTCCTGAGGCAAAGCAATTCTGGGTGAAGTTTCTGGCCCAGAGCCATTGGGGCAGGGGCCAATGACTCTTGTCTATTCTGTTTGTGTAAAGATAAGGAGAGGTTTCTCAGTTATGGCAAAGCCTTGAATTTTAAGACTTGGGTGCCCACCGCTGTTTCTCAAATCAATGTAGAAGACTGAAGCTAAAGAAGTAAAACACTCAGTGTCCAGACCAGGTAGGTGGCTTCTCCTGTAAGATTGTTCTAGGAATAACCTTCCACCTGGGCATCCACTTGAAGCTTTATCACCTCTTTACAGGAAAGATTGGCCAATGGAGTATTAGGAAAACATCATATCACAACTGGAGCCAAATTCATATAAAGCACTGTTGCTTTTTAGTTTTATCCAGTGTGACAACTTCTACCCATCAATTGGTCTGATTAATCCATTTACGATTACTATTACTATTTATAAAGTTAAGTTGGTCTATCATGCTCATTATTTTCTGGTTGCTGCCATCTTCCTCCTTTCCTGACTTGTTTTGGATGGAATGTTTTGAAAGCATTCCCTTTGACCTCTTCTATTGGTTTACTGAGGACCCATGGTGGGGCAGTGAACTAAGCAGTAGACTGACATTTTCCAGGTTGGCAGTCCCAATCCACCAGCTGCTCCGTGGGAGAAAGAGGAAGTGCTCATGAACATTAATAGTCTGAGAAGCTCTATCTGGGGTGGCTGTGAGTTGGAATCTTCCAGGCACATGTACAATGTCCTGATTCTCTCCGGTTGTTTGTGCACAGTAAAGTCCCTGGGTTGCACAAATGGTTTGCACTAATGACTGTTAACCACAAGGCCAGGAGTTGGAAACCACCAGTCAGCTCCTCGGGCAAAAGAGGGGGCTTTCTAGTCCCATAACAAGTTACAGTCTGGTCAACTCACAGGGGCACTTCTATCCTGTCGTCTAGGGTCGAGATGAGTCAGAATTGACTCGATGTCAGTACGTTTGGTTTTGTTTGGCTTTTGGTTTACTAACCTAGAGGATGGGAATTTGAACCTACTCATCAGTATCACGGAAGGAAGCTCTGGTGGATCCCCTTCAGTAAAGATGGCAGCAAATAAAACCCTATGGAGCTCAGTTTGATTCTGTAGCACAGGGGGTCACTATCAGTCATAATTAGCCTGATGGCAACAGAATACAAAATCTTTAGGTGAATATTTCCTAAGTGCAGTATCTTTGTGAAAAGATATCAAGAGAGGGAAGATGAAACATAGATGCAAAAGCCAGAATCCCTGCCTTCAGTGCCTTCTCTCAAGGGAAGAGATTAGCTTGAGGGTAGTCAGGGAGTTTCTGGTTGCAGAAAGGCTTTGAAGGGGTCTTGTAAAGTGTATCTAGGAGGAAGGATAGAGCAAGAACAAGAAGAAAGAACATTAGGGCACAGGAGGTCAGAGAGGATGCATTAAGGAGCCAAGGAAACAAGCACAGCATAATTTGACTTATGAAGTACCTGCCTGCACAAACATCTGCTTTCTACTCTAAGCTTTTTCTTAGAAAGGATGAGTAAGAAGTGGATGGGAAGGAAAATAGGAGTTATTATACACTGCTCTGGGCCTAATCAGAAATCACTACCTTGTACATCTTTTCTTGATAATCTATTTGCTACGGTCTGATTCTCCACGACCCCGGGACTTCTGAGTAAACATAAAGCAATTTTCCCTTGGCATTACTCATAAGAGGCAATATCTTAGAGATACAAATAGAGACAATGGACACGATTTTATTTATTAAACACTCATGGAATTATTTCAGTATCCAACACAAAGTTTCCTTTCTTTTAAGCAAACACAAAGTTTCTTAATGAAATATATTTCTCATATTCCTCACTCTTTGAACCATGAAACACCTTCTATGCTTTAAAAATAACGGGTGGATTGCTATGATATTACAAATTGAGCTTGATCATTGAATCCTTGTCCAAGGCACATGGGGAATTTTGTAAATATTCAAGGAGCATTGAAGGTTCAAAGATTTTGGCCATGTAGTTCCAAGCTCTTATTGTTTATAAGGGGAAACTGAAAAGAAGCGATGGGAAGATATTTGTTCAAATGCAAACACTCGGTGTCCTATATCCAGCATGGTGTTCTCATTAATATAGACCTCTCTGACAATTCTGCCTCCAAATATCTGGAAGACTAATTGTCACACCCATTTTAAGTCTTTGCTTAATTATGATCTTTGGTATGAGCCTTCCTCTGACTTCTAAAAGGGTATAGTCAATCTTACCATACTCTTCCCACCCCCCCCACACACACCATCTAACATACAATAATTTGGTGGTTGTTGTAGTTTATCATCTATTTTCCTTCTCTCGCAATTTTAAGGTTAAGAATTTTTGTCTTTTATTCCTTGATGTGTCTAGGAGCCTAGGACAGTGCCAAGTAGTACACTGTAGGAGTTTAATAAATATCCATTCAAGGAGTGAATGTCTTTGCTAAAGGCATGGATTGCTTGGGGACCTTTTTAGAGAGTAGGTGTAAGGTGGACAAGGTAGAGTTTAGGTATTGCTGTGAGGTGTTTGTCCAAATACTCGCCCTGCAGACAAAAACTCACTACCGTCAGAAGTGATTCCGAGCCATATAGACCCTGCGTAGGTTTTCCAAGTCTGTAAACCTTGATTGTTGCTGTCAGGTGCCCTGAAGTCTGTTGCACTTACAGCCACCGTGTGTGCAACAAGAAACACTGCCCCGTCCTGCAGCATCCTCACAATTGTTCAATTTGAACCGACTGTTGCAGCCATGGTGAAAAGACAACTCACAAAGGGGCTTCTCTTTGCTTGCTGCCCTTCTGCTTTACCCAGCATGGAGTCATTCTCCACGGGCTGCTCTCGTTTGTCCTTGCTTCTGAGAAGTATTCTGGCTGTACTTCTTCCCAAACAGATGCATTCCTTCTTCTGGCACTCCGCGATACTTTCAATATTCTTCGCCCACACTGTCGTTCGAAAGTATTGATTCTTCTGCAGTCTTTCTTATTCGGTGTTCAGTTTTCACATGCATATGAGGCTTCGGCCATGTGCAACTTAGTCCTGAAAGTAGCCTCCATGTTCTTCAACACTTTACAGAAACCTTGTGTATCACATTTACCCAATGCAATGTGTCATTTGTTTTGTTGTTGTCGTTGTTTGACTGCTGCTTCCATGGGTATTGATTGTGAGTCCAAAAAAAGAGAAATCCTTGATAAATTCAATCTTTCCTCCATGTATCATGATGTTGTGTATTGGTGGCCCAGTTGAGAGGATTTTGGTTTTCTTTATATTGAAGTAAGTGCTTTAAGTCCT